GATAAGAACCATATGATCCTGTCAATCAATGCAGAAAAGGCATTGACAAAACTCAGCAACCTTTCTTAATAAAAACTCTTGAGAAAGTCGGGATAGAAGGAACATACTTAAAGATCATAAAAGCCATTTATGAAAAGCCCACAGCTAACATCATCCTCAATGGGGAAAACTGAGAGCTTTTTCTCTGAGATCAGGAACACGACAGGGATGTCCACTCTCAATGCTGTTGTTTAACATAGTGTTGGAAGTTCTAGCATCAGCAATCAGACAACAAAAGGAAATCAAAGGCATCAAAATTGGCAAAGATGAAGTCAAGCTTTCACTTTTTGCAGATGACATGATATTATACATGGAAAATCCGATAGACTCCACCAAAAGTCTGCTAGAACTGATACATGAATTTAGCAAAGTTGCAGCATACTGTCTTCTGCAGTGTTTATATTCCCACCAACAGTATGTTAGGTTCCCCTTTCCTCATATCCTTGCCAACACTTGTTTCTTGTGTTTTCTATTTTAAGCCGTTCTGTCAGGTGTGAGGTGATTTTTCAATTTTGTTTGTGATTTGCATTTCCCCGGTGATAAGTGATGTTGAGAACCTATTCATCTGTCTGTAGGCCATCTGTACGTCTTCTTTGGAGAAAAATCTGTTCGTGTCTTCTGCCATTTTAAAATTGGATTGTTTTTTGGCTGTTGAGTTATATAAGGTCTTTATGTAGTTTGAATATTAACGCTTTATTGGATATGTCATTTGCAAATATCTTCTACCATTCAGTAGGTCTTCTAGCTTTGTTGATTTTTTCCTTTGCTGTGCAGAAGTTTGTATTTTGATGTGGTCCCAACAGTTTATTTTTGCTTTTATTACCCTCATCTCAGGACACATATCTAGAAAAACGTTGCTACAGCTGATATCAGAGAAGTTATTGCCTGTGCTCTCTCCTAGAATTTTTATGGCTTCAGGTCTCACATTTAGGGCTTTAACTCATTTTGAGTTTATCTTTGTGCATGGTGTAAGAAAGTGATCCGGTTTCATTCTTTAGCATGTGCTGTCCAGTTTTCGCAACACCATTTGATGAAGAGACTGTCTTTTCCCCATTGCATGTTCTTTCTTTGTCTAAGGTTAATTGATCATATAATTGTGGGTCTATTTCTGGGTTTTCTATTCTGTTCCATTAATCTATGTGTCTGTTTTTATGCCAGTACTATACTGTTTTGGTTACTTGTAATATTACTTGAAGTCTGGAATTATGATACCTCCAGTTTTGTTTTTACTTTTCAAGGTTGCTTTGGAGATTTGGGATCTTTTGTGGTTCCCTACAAATTTTAGGAATGTTTGTTCTACTTCTCTGAAAAATGCTATTGGTATTTTGATAGGGATTACATTAAATCTGTAGATTGCTTTGGGTAGTGTAGACATTTTAACGATATTTGTTCTTCCAACCCATGAGATACATTTGTTTTTTAATGTACCAGACTTTAATGTCTGACTCTCCAAAGGGGAAAAGTGAAACATGTGAGGCGAATAGAGGGACACTGACCTTTTAAATCTCTTGGAAGTCATTTCAGCTGGAGAGGGAGGGGCTTGCAACAAAGGAGGAATTGCAGCAACAATAACCTGCTTCTTTGTCTGCATCTTTCGGATTAGAAGCAACAATCAGCAATCAGAGCACAAATTCCTGACATCTGGAGGACAGCATCCTTTTCTTTCACCCTAGCTCTTGTAAGCTATGTGCAAGCAGCTCCAAGGAAGTGCACAGGTGACTGCCACTTGGCTGGGGATGGATATCTGCTACTTTTCCAAGAGCTGAAATTGGCTAAAATTGACTGTAACTTACTATCCAATTCTTTCCTTGCAAGCCTTCAACAGATTCCGGGATTCTAAAAACAGTTACATCAGGCAGATTCTGCCAAGCAAACTTGTCGTCTAGGTGGGGAGACAGATTCTGGTCCTTCCAACACCACCATCTTCCCATAATCTGAGGTCTTCTCTATTTCTTCATTTCAATAATGTTCACTCTTGCTTGTTACAGCAGAGTCATAAAAGCTTCTTTAAAGTAATTGATAATTTAAAATTTTTTTTCAACGTTTTTTATTTATTTTTGGGACAGAGAGAGACAGAGCATGAACGGGGAAGGGGCAGAGGGAGAGGGAGACACAGAATGGGAAGCAGGCTCCAGACTCTGAGCCATCAGCCCAGAGCCCGACGCGGGGCTCGAACTCACGGACCGCAAGATCGTGACCTGGCTGAAGTCGGACGCTTAACCGACTGCGCCACCCAGGCGCCCCAAAGTAATTGATAATTTTAACCATCTGTTTCATTTTAACATTCCCATCTATTGGTTGTTTTTCTCTTATAAGTTGAAGTTTTTTTGGTTCTTTTACTGTGTGTTTGGAAAGCCTTCCTTCAAGAGCTTCAAATAGTGTAGGGGACAGCCATTAAGTTCTACATTCCCTCATATGATCCATGTGTTTATTATGTTTGTTAGTAGTTGGCATAGACAAGGAGAAATGGAATAGGAAGGAGAGAGAAAATGATAGTTCTGTTTTAAAAAATTGCAAAATGTAACAAATAAAGAAAACTGCCATCTTGGCATCATGATGTATAAATGTATACATTTATACAGTATAAATGTATAGCTTAATGAATTATTACAAGGCAAATATTCTTGTAGTAATGGTAGTTGTATGTAACCTGATGATTCAGAGAGCTGTTAGCAAGTCTGATTTCTCACTTCCCTTTCTTTTCCTTTCTTAGTTTTGTCTTCTTTGAACTCAGCCTGTCTTCAAGGGAAGAGAGAGTAAAGCTGAAGAGAGAAGAAAGAAAAGAGTGGAACTGAATAGTATTTGTAATTCTAAGTCATGGCTGAGGTTATTGGTATTTTTTTCTCTTTTTCCAAGATTACAATAATTTCTTTCCAGGCCATTATATAAAGTTTCCTTATATTGAAACTTTCTTTCAAACTGAGCCCCATCCTGGAGCCTGGTTCCAAGCTCCTCCCTTCCAACAGTGGTAGGACTCATAGTCCAGAGCCTCAGTCCATACCATTCTCTTCTTTTTACACCTTTCCATATTCATTCAGTGAATCAGTGAGCAATGAGCAAATATTGGCTCAGTCTTTTAATAGGAGCACTTCCCTTAAGGAACCATGAAGTCATCCCTCATCAGATTTGGGCTTTAGTGAAGTAGAAATATATGATGAATTTTATAAGTAATGCATAGCTTTGTTTCTACAGCAGGTAGTGATGTTCAGGGATGTGGCTGTAGACTTCTCACAGGAAGAGTGGGAATTTCTGGACCTGAAGCAGAGAAACTTGTACAGAGATGTGATGTTGGAAAACTACAGCAACTTGGTCTCATGGGGTAAGGACACCCCTCTCCCGTCTCCCAGTAATTAAGATTCTGCTTTATGTACAGATCTTTGTATAAACAACTTTTATGTATGCATATAGGACAGCTTTTTTGAACTTAGTACATAAAAGTACTTGATACTGAAAAAAAAAAAAAAAACCCTGTTAACCTAGAATGTCTCCATCCTCTGCTGTAAATTTTCTAGATGCCTTTCATCTTCCCCATCCTTTAGACAATCTTGACATATTTATCTGAGTTTTGCCCTTCTTCACCAAGGAATTAGGTCTGAATTTTGGATATCCTTGACATAACTAAGTCCTGTTTCCTTTTTTATTGTTTTCAATAGGACTCTCTCTTCCTAAACCAACTTTGATCTCCTTTTTGGAACAAGATAATGAGCCTTGGATTGTTGAGAGAGAGTCACCAAAAGGCCTGTACCCAGGTAGGTGAGGGAAATTTAGAGAGGGGGAAGCTGTGCAAGAATAGACCACCTGCTCAGTGAGATGATAGCCCTTAGGTGAGAGCATCCAGAATGTTCTTCAAAGAGGGAGGTGTTCTCTTTTTTTCCACAGTGACGAGTGTTCTGGCTATAATTAAGATCCAGTTCTTTCCCTGTTTCTCTTTCTCTTTTGGTCTTAAATAGTTTCTCCATCTCCTGGTGTATGTATTTTCTCTAAATATTACTCTTATTTTAGCTACTTTCCAATAATCTGCACCCATTTCTTCACTGGTTTTTCTTTGATTCAGTGTTTTATTTATTCCATTTTTTGTCAGATCATAGAATACATTCATTTTTCTATTGTGGTAAAAAATACCCACATACATAACATTTGCCATTTTAACCATTTTTAAGCATTCAGTATAGTAGTGTTAATTATATGCACATAAGTTGTCCAACAGAGCTATAAGATTTTTTCATCTTGCAAAATTGAAATTCTATACCCATGGAACAACCACTTCCTTTTCCCACCTCCTCATCCCCTGGCAACCATTTTACTTTCTGTTTCTAAGAGTTTGACTACTTTAGATTATCTCATATAAGTAGAATCATGCAGTATTTGTCTTTTTGTCACTGGGTTATTTCACTTAATGTCCTCAAGGTTTATCCATGTTGTAGTATATGACAAGTTTCCTTCTTTTTAGGTCCAAATAAGATTCCATTATATGTATATACCATATTTTCTTTATCCATTCTACTGTCAGGACATTAGGTTGCTTCTACATCTTGGCTATTGTGAATAGTGCTACAATTAACATGGGTGTGCAAACATCTCTTCAAGATCCTGTTTTCGGGGCGCCTGGGTGGCGCAGTCGGTTAAGCGTCCGACTTCAGCCAGGTCACGATCTTGCGGTCCGTGAGTTCGAGCCCCGCGTCGGGCTCTGGGCTGATGGCTCAGAGCCTGGAGCCTGTTTCCGATTCTGTGTCTCCCTCTCTCTCTGCCCCTCCCCTGTTCATGCTCTGTCTCTCTCTCTCCCAAAAATAAATAAACGTTGAAAAAAAATTGTTTTAAAAAAAAAAGATCCTGTTTTCAATTCTTTTGGATATATACTCAGAAGTGGAATTGCTAGAACGTATGGTAACTCTACTTTAATATACTGAGGAACCTCTCAGGTTTCCATAGTGGCTCTACCATTTAACATTCCCACCAATAGGGCATGAGGGTTTCAATTTCTTCACATTCTTGTCAACACTTATTATTTTCTGTTCTTTTTTTGATAGCACCCATCCTAATGGGTATGAGGTGATATCTTGTGGTTTTATTTTACATTTCTGTGATGGTTAGTGATACTTTTCATGTGCTTGTTAGCCATTTGTATTTATTTTTTGGAGAATAGCTATTCAAGTCCTTTGCCCCTTTTAAATCAGGTTGGTTTTTCTGTTGTTGAGTTGTTGGGATTCTTTGTATATTCTGGCTGTTAACTCCTTATCAGATATGTGGTTAGCAGATATTTCTCACATTCTGCAGATTGCCTTTTCACTCTCTGGACTGTTTCCTTTGCTGTGCAGATGTTTTTAAGTTTGATGTAATCCAGTTTTTGTGTTTTTTGTTTTTGGTGGCCTATCCAGGAAATCATTGCCAAATGCAATGTCACAAAACTTTCCCCAATATTTTCTTCTAAGACTTTCAAGTTTCAGTTTTTATGTTAGGACTTTAGTCTATTCCTAGTTCGTTTTTGTGTATGGTCTAAGGTATGAATCCAACTTCATTCTTTTGCATGTGGATATCCAGTTTTCTCAGCACCATTTTTTAAAAAGACTATCCCTTCTCTGCTGTGTAGCCTTGACATCCTTGTTGAAGATCACTTGATGATATATGAGTTTTTAAATTTATTTTCACCAGCCTACTTATTTTTGAAGTTAAAGTGCTAAAATTTGTCAGATGCAGAGAAAGCAATCCAAAGAATTAGATAAAAAAGTTGGAGGGGCTCCTGGGTGGCTCAGTCGGTTAAGCTTCTGACTCTTGATTTCAGCTCGGGTCATGATCTTGCAGTTTGTGAGTTCAAGCCCCGCATCAGGCTCTGCACAGCCTGCTTGGAATTTTCTCTCTCTCCCTGTCTCTCTGTTCCTCTCCCACTTGTGTTCTTTCTCTCAAAATAAATAAATAAACTTAAAAACCTCTGGGTTATCATTCTCTTCTCTCAGATACAAGTTGTTTTTATAACTCAATTTAATATAACTTAATATATACATATGTCTGTATATAATCTGGCCAAATGATACATTTATTGTTTTCACTTTTTATCTTAAAATTTTTGAAACATACACAAAAGTAGACTGAATAGTGTGACCATCCCCTGACCCAACCCATGTACCACTCAGTGTTAATAGTTATCAACTTTTTGCCAATCTTAGGTCTTTTCAAGTATATTTATTTATTTAATTAAACTCAACACCCAATGTGGGTCTCGAGCTCACGACCCCAAGATCAAGAATCACATGCGCTTCCAACTGAGCCAGCCAGGCACCCCTCACCAATCTTGTTTTATCTAGTCCTCTCTAAGTTGTTGTTGTTGTTGTTTCTGCAGTATTTTGAAGCCTGTCCCAGACATTACAAATAAATTCTTCAGTACAAACAATATGTTTCAATGACAATATTCTTAAGCTTAGTTTTTAGTAATTCATCTTATTGAAACCTCTTATGTTTATAAATGCTTGTTTTATCATCATAATTGTAGAGTTATTCATAAATAAGAATATATAAGTATATACACTTATGGGGGTTTTGTGGTAACTATTTTCTTTATCTGAATTTTAATTTCTTTAGAACTCGATATTGTATTAGTACAACATCCCAAGAATAATTAGGAGTTTTAGAAAATATACTTAGGATCACATTGTAAAGAACATGGTCATGTTGATTTAAGAATATAACAGAAAAATATAACACCTTAAAACTTTACCTAGGTAATGTAAGTATAACTGTGTAGGTCCACATAATTTGCAGTGTTGTCTGAGGTTTATAAGAATCAATTTATAAAGATGAGTTATTTCAATCACAACTGAATCTAGGTATACACCCACATTTATGCATATTTATATTTATGTAATCTTCAGTTTTAGTGCATGTAGTAACTTTTCTGGTCCATAACACAAGTAAATACTTAGCGTGTTCTATTTAATTTAGGCTTTTTAAAAAATTTTATTTATTTTTTTAATTTACATCCAAATTAGGTAGCATATAGTGCAACAATGATTTCCGGAGTAGATTTAGGCTTTTTTGTTTTTTACAACAGTTCAGTCTTATAAGAACTAAAATGTTATTTTATTTACATCTGGGAGAAGAGCTTAAAATGAAGTGAACTATAATTACTTGGGCAAAACATTATTAGGTAAGGCAGTGAATCAGAATCATAACTCTCATAGAGGTTATGGGTTATTTCCACAAGATATAGCAACGATCTCTGAAGGTAAGGCCTGTTGTTGTTTAGGACTCATTTGTGAAAACTAGCATTGGTGAGGGCTATTTTATGGCCCAGGAAGGCTGTCTGATGTTCTCTACAGGTACAGCATAGAGAGGTCATGAGTTTTTCATAGTCTTTATGCATTTATTCATTGATTTCCTTTTATTATCAACTTGAAGAAACATGCTGGGAAAAAAATTAGCTTTTTATCATATGTACTCAGATACTCTTGACAGACATTGTCACATATTTTATTTAAGAAAAATTTTGGGGGGGTGCCTGGGTGGCTCAGTCAGTTAAGCGTCCAACTTCAGCTCAGGTCATGATCTCATGGTTTGTGAGTTCGAGCCCCACGTCAGGCTCTGTGCTGACAGCTCAGAGCCTGGAGCCTGCTTCGGTTTCTGTGTCTCCCACTGTCTCTACCCCTTCCCCACTTGTGCTCTCTCTCTCTCTCTCTCTCAAAAATAAATAAAATGTAAAAAAAAATTTTTTTTTTAATTATTTTTGAGAGAGCAAGACAGGGTGCGAGTAGGGGAGGGGCAGAGAGCGAGAGGAAGATACAGAATCTGAAACAGGCTCCAGGCTCTGAGCTGTCAGCACACAGACCAATGCAGGGCTTGAACTCGGGAATAGGGAGATCATGACCTAGGCTGAAGTCAGACACCCAACACACTGAGCCACCCAGGCACAACCTTGTCACATATTTTAAAAATTAACTTTACAAAATCTTTTATTGAAATAACACATGGTATCAGTTTAGTCCAAATTGCCTTCTTACCAAGCAACGTTTATAGACTACTTCTTTCTTTGCCATTTTTTTTTTGCACTGCCACCTTGAGCATTATTCTTAAGCAGATTAATTTTCAGAGTCAGGTTTTCTGTTCCTTTGGTTTATTAGCTTTTACCTCTTTCCTCTCTGCCCACAAACCAATATTCTGTTCTTATTTACAATCAATTAATACTTGGTAGAAGTAAATCTTTTTTGTTTTGGGGAATACTATGTAGCATTATTCTTCTTTACTTTAAAAGTTTATAAATGCTTAGTAAAATATTTTTTTAATATGAAATTTATTGTCAAATTGGTTTCCATACAACACCCAGTGCTCATC